ATATGATATATAAGCAGAACTTTAACTTGAAAGGGGCAATAGTGAAAAGGGTAAGTAATTTTTCTGCTATGAGCATTCAGAATAGTAACAGTAAATTCCACCTTCAGTACATATAAATCTCCATTTTGAAATGAAACCTTCCTAATTTAGCACCATAATGATTAAGTCTAATATTCACTGTTACTGACAAAACAGTTTTAAGATCTGACTAGTGGTAAGTGCAAAGGAAAGTATTTCTGTGTGAGAAATGGCAGGAAGATGAAATTAAGATAAAAGGCATAATTCTTAAGAGGAATCACATCATTCATGGGTAAAGTAGGTCTATTTTTTACATTCATTTGCATATAAATGTTTTGTGTTAGTGGTGAATTATAAGTAATTTCATGCTGTTAGTGCACACCAATGTTTTCTCTGCCAAATAATAATGCTATTTCATCTGCTGCAATCTTCTAGCTTTACAGATTCAAATACAGTGTACAATAAATTCCTGTGCAGCCACAGCAGATTTAACTAACTAGCACGAAACTAGTACTGAACCCAGTATGCTCTACAAAGCAGAATCTGTTTTATTTTTAACCATACTCTATTCTACACAAATGAAGATTCCCTAAAGAATTATTTTGCAAATTCACAGGGACTTCATAAAGTTTTGCTAATGAAAAACTTCAAAGCATCTGAAAATTATTTTTGAAGCTTTTCAAATATTCTTATACATCTCCTACTTTAGGATCGCTGTTAAAAAATATTCGCAAAATCAAATTAAATTAACTTAATCTTCATGCAAACAAAACAAACATGATATTTAGCAGAAGAAAAAAAAAAGTAATCTCCATCTGGCATCTTACTTATCAAGGCATTGTGGTCAACTAGATCATTTTCTTAAAGATGAAAGAAGCCATGTGTGGCTGTGCAGTCTTCAGTCTCTGTGTTCCCCAGTCAGAAGGTAGTATTTTCTGGGCAAAAATGGTCATACCCAGTTTTGGTAAATGAAACTCCCATCTTCTGACAAACAGATGATAGAAAAAGAATTACGTCATTTCTTTGCTTTCTTCAGGCCAGTTACATTTAGCAGGAGCTACAAGATCTCCTGATGCACTCCAAATCTGATGACTGGTATAGTGATCTCATGGCATTATCTAAGTAATTTGTTCTTTATTATGCATTTCTCTTTTCATATGCATCATCTCCTTTTTTTTCTCACTTTACTTTCTATTGGCATTGTTCATTCACATTCAGTTTTTAAAGCAACCCTCAAAGAAACAATGCTCGTCACATTTCATGTGTATATGGAGTCTGCTATGTTGTTGTTTGTATAATGATTAAATGAAAAACAGTGTTAAGACTAGCTTCACCCTCACACACATAGTGAAAAGGATCATGTTGAGGCTAAGATCCTAATGGTAATTGTTAGAACTGATGAACAGCTCTGTATTTTATTATCTGGTAACAGTGGAGAAACACGGCACTCAACTCAGTAGTTTCTCCTCTCTCTAGAGCTGGATATGTAGCTCCTTCGTCTACCACTTTCAATCAGTTTTGAGATTTCAATTATTTTGGGTGACTTTGTAAGTATGAATAAAAATGTTCATTCACATTAAGTAAAAATCTACCTGTTGACACCACCACTGCAATTGCATGTTCCAGTTTAAATAGAAAGACAAGAACAGGATATTTGTCTTGCTGGAAAAAAGCTAATGCTGCCAGTATATATCCATCATGGTGGCTTTTCACGTTTCTCATCTTGGAAAACAAGCAACAGACTCTTAGCAGCAACAAATACCATCACAGACCTCACTACTTATTTCTTCTAAGCACAGAGAACATTTCCCTGTCGTGCCCTTTCTGACATATGGATTTTGTAAAGCACAAAGCTGCACCAAGGTATGATAATGAACATGCTCCCATCCTCACAGTCTGAAGGAGAGAGGGAAGAGACAAACTACATCAGTTAGACTGCCTGCCCTCTCCCAGAGCACGTTCAGCTCCAGCAGTGGTATGCAGGATGTACCCCTCACCATCACCAGCAAGAGTGACCTGTAACAGCAGTAGCAGCTGGGCAAAAACTTTATTCCTCCTTCCCTGAACCTCTACAGGAAAAGAAAACCTGTGAATCTCACCCCCTGGATGTTTGCTCTGCTGTCAAGAGCACAGGATGGCAGGCTGGCAGCCAAGAGAGACTCTACTAAAGATGGAAAGCACAGGCCACCATTTGTCTTCTGATCAGCTCACAAACACTGGAGGATCCATTTGTTGCAAGTGCTGATGACAGGAGGCGAATAATGTGAGAGACCATAGCCAGCCACCCACCCACCTTCTGTCAAAAACCCATAAAGAACATCCTTTAAATAGTGTTATCAATTATAACAGGCTCCCAACTATTGCTGTGGCAGTTTGTGTGTTTGGCACAGCTCAACAGCCCCCACTCCATACCAGCCAGACCTGCTTGTTCAGGCTCTCCGCCTTCCCCTGGTAAGAAATTGTTGCCCCTTGAACTACAGGCACGCAATACAAGCAGCTGGTTTGCTTTTTGCCACATCCACAGCTGCCAGGGAACTGCAAGCAGAAGTTTACCCCCAGAAAGTACTGGGAAGGGGTGGCAGGAGTAACACACATCAGCAATCAACATGCAGGAGCTTTCCTAACTGACAGCAACTCCGTGTTGGAAAACTCTCCTCTGTGGGGTGGGAACAGAGATGAACAGCGGGAGTGGTTCTGTCCCCTCAGTTGTCCTCAATGCCAAAAACTGTTTAGGTGACCACCCACTAACTCAGAGAGAAAGGGGGGAGAAGCAGAAGCAACAATCCTTTTGTTTGTTAATAATTACTTTTAAATCAATCAGGGGTTAAGCTTGCAAGGCATAATTAACTGTACTATTCATAGTCAATCATGCCACCCATCATCTCCAGCATCCAAAGAGATGTTAACCCATTTGGATTATATATTTGTAACTCATGCTAAGTTCTAGCATGAAACCTCTGTCAAATTCCAGTGAAACAGAAAAGAAAAATCAGATAATTAAAAAATAAACAACTTGCATAGCCACTATCTGAATTAGCAGTTACCCTACATTGGAGAGACATAGGCTTAATGTTCTCTAAACAATACAGCTAATATTAAAGTCAAATCAGAAAAAAGGTAAGCCCTACCCAGGATAGACACTCATGGATGCAATAAAAAAAGCAAAGTCCGTAAGTATAGGACCAGTGCAGCCAAATGGATTGCCTCTGTATTAAATTTTCTAAGAGGTTTATCTGACTGGTGAACAATAAATTCAAATTAAGTCCTCTAAAATCAATATAACAATAACATTTTGTATCCCTAAGGAGCCATCGGGAGCCAATTGCGAGACTGCAAAAACTTAATCTTAAATTAGAAGCTGTGATCTGAAGTCATGCCACTGTGTTTCAGTAATTTTCTTTAGGACAAACTCAGAAAAGCAAACAACACTGTATGTGCAACAAGAACCAAGAAGGGAGAGACTTGCTGCATGCAAGAGGCAAGATGCAGTGTTAGCCTTTGCTAGAAATTCCTTATTTTACATCCAACTCCGTTCCATATGCTTTTGCCTAAGACAAAGGAGCAACAAAGATAGGTTGTGTTTGTTTATCTGAAGATTATATCTGTAATTACATATCAAGGAAAAAAGAAATTTCAGCTAATAAACAAGGGTTTTTTTCTGTAAAAGTAATTTATTTTTCAAAGAGCCACAATCTGTTTCTCTGTGTGACTGGGAAAAGCAGTCATTGGTGTCCCCCCTAACTTAGACTTTATCTTTCTCAGTTAACTAAAGTATTTACTTTCTTGTCTTCTTTTGCCCTGTCTGATAAGAGAAGTACTTTTTGAATAACTCTCTTTGCGTCACCTTCAATATCAATAGCATTTTTTAAGATTGCAACTTCCTTATTTAAAAAACAAATTGATGAGTTAACTTATTGCACTGACTCACATTGCAATGTTACAAGGAACTGTACTGTACTTCTGTTCTACAGAAGATAATCTGTGTTTAAAATCAAATGTTTTCCTGTATGAAAAAGCTTTCTCCCTTTTTTTAACTTTTTTTGGGTATGTTTTATTTTTTTCATTCTCTTCTTTTCATTACACTTCACAATACCCCAAAAACGCAACAACAGGGTATTCAGAAAAGCTGCTGCATATGGAGAACTGACAAGCCCTTCTGAAGAGCCTTTCAGCCTACTGGCTTTGATTGCCTCTCCCAGGATTCAGCTTTCTTAAAAGCTCCTTCTGAGGCTTGAAAAATAGCATGTACTAAAAACCCACAAAACACCACCTTAGGCAGTGAAGTACATCTTAACAGCTATTCACAATCCTTTCTATAGTGGAGAATGCAGTGTGCCCAATCTACCACTAATCTTTACAGACACACACTAGAAGTTCATAAGGAGGGTGAAGTCAGCACCACACCCCTCACTGAGCAGCTAATCCTAGTTATGCACAACATGACCTGACAGAAGAGTCCATTACCAAAATCCTTCTGTATGTTCTATCAAAAATTCATGTTATTTATATATAAGAATTATTTCTGTATTTAATCCTTACTACTGTGAAATACAAGCAGCTCTGTTTCATCAAGCTCAAAAAATAATCGAAAACATAATTTGCATGAAAGGACCAGTGAAGAATGACATGGTTAATATCAGAACATTTTGTTTGTAAAGGGCAACCAACACTTAATTACTCCATTCACATACATAAGTATTTTACATTCCAAACCAAACACAGTGTAGCTTCTCTGTGATTTCAGATCAACTTTTACTCTATAAAGACAAGATATCCAAGCCCTAAATCTCCGATATCAGTTTATTTAACACACATCGTTCTATCAGTAGATTGCCCTTGGTTTAAAATGCTAAACAGTTCATACATTATAAATCAGGAGTTTCCTGAGCTGCTTAGATAAGTCTTTAGGACTAAATTTGAGTACAGCAAGTGTGAATATGCGAACACTGTTCACCCCTCCCCATTTGCCCCAGGAAGTTTACCAGTGCACAGAGCAAGTCTACTGCTTCCAAGATAAGCTCCTGATGGCCAATTCGTGTGACTCCAAGATCTTCCAGTTCCTGATGAGTAATTCGTAATAGCTGGTCACCACTAATCTTCTCTCTCTCAAAGTTCTTTATATATTGCTGCAGGCAATCATCAAGACCTGCAACGAAAGGACAGAAGGAGGGAAGACAAAAGTTAGCAACATTTTGTACCCTACTACGAAGCAAAACTGACCAAAAATTAAGCCAGCAGAAGATTTTTGCCCTATCTTTAAGAGAAGTATTTTAACATTACAAAAACTTAATGCTACCCAGAAACCTTGAGATTTGAAGAGCTACGGCAGCCATGGCTTTTTTTACCTGTGGACAATACCAACTGCTCCTGAACCCTGAACAAAGCCCTGAATTCTTGCAGTTTACTGTGCTATCAATGTCAATCTGGCAGCCCCAATAACAGGTATGTTAGGGATGCTTCCATTACATCCGGAAGAGGAGAAAAGGGAACAATGGAACACGCAGTCAAACAGAAAGTGGCAGTGCCATACCACAGTGTCCCTCCCACTTCAAGGTCACTTAAGTATTGCTGAGTCATCTGAATGTTCACAGGTCATGCCAGCCTCTAAAACAAGCTGCAAAGAGCTCTAGAGAACAAGAAAGGCAGTAGCACTGCAAATGCAAAAACTGGGCCCCAACTGCAGCAGCAGATCCAGCTCAATGTACCACAAAGAGAACCTGTAAGGAGTGACAGTACACAAATCAGCATGAAAAGCTACTCAAATCAAGACCTGAGGGCACTTCTCAGAACACAGGGAGCAGAAACAGGCCCATTGTGCCAAAAAGTATGCTAGAAGGTCCCACAGCACATTTGCTCAGGACATGGCTGAATGCAGGGTTGTACAGGTCCTGCTTTGGGGAGCAGCTGTATTCTACCTTTTCAGTTTGATTATGAGTCAGTGACAGGCAGCTGACCACACATTTTCACCTGGAGCAAAGAGCACTTCAGAATGTCAGAGAATCCATCATGCATCTCTTGCCCATCAATCTTTGCCCAAGAGAGCCAGGCAGTACAGGGAAGCTCTGCAGCATGTGCACTCATGTACCAAGGGGATAAGAAAGACTTTTGGGTATTTGGTGGCCCATTTAACATTTCTGTCTGAATACTTTCCAATGAATGAACATGGCTGCTACCAAGCAACAGGACTTGACAAAGCTCTGAATGCATTAATTTTGCTGATTCTTGAGAGATACAACCTCTCTGAAAAATGTCTTCAAACAATCCCTAATAGTGAAAAGACATCTGCTCATTAGACTGGAAGAAAGCAAGAACATTCTTACTTGCTAATCAAAATGTCTGAAAAATCTGAAGATACATGGAAGATAAAAGATTGATCTGACTGCTGAGCCCCAGTTATCTTGTAAAAGCACCAGTTACAACATAAAGCTTCTCTGAAAATGGTTTTGTTGCATTTTTGGTTCCCATCTGTGCCTTTCAGGGTGTAATCACACCTCAGAAGACACTCACATGAGGAACATGTTGATGCTGCAGGCAGGGATGTCCCAATACCAGGCCAGCCCATTGTTACTGGCTCAGCCCTTGGGCAGGAGTTACCCACACTCTGTCACTGCTACAACGGCACAATATTCATAGGGTTTTAACCACTAGAATTCACAGGCTGAAACTAAACCACACATAAACACACTGTGAAAGAAGCACTCCAAGTCTCAAGATACAGGAAAAAGTTCTCAGTTCCAGCAGACTTCAACCATGTCCTTCCAGAGCCTGCTGCCTGATTTTCTGCCTCCATAACAAAGCCACTTAAAGGTCGAGGTTAATCAAGCACTTGAAGCTACTGCCTTCATTTCATTGCCCTTTCTAATCAAATAGCTGTTCAAGCCATTCTTCAGGAAAGAAACCTTAAAAGGGCAGGAGAGGCCTCCTCCATAGGCAGCTGCTCAGATCAGCTCAGCTGGTCAGAGCATGGTGCCAATATACACCAAATTTGGGGAGCTGATCTCTGTACAGACCATTCTCTTAAGAGCTAGACTCAGTGATCCCTGTGGGCCCCTTTCAACTCAGAATATTCTGTGATTCTGTGACAGGGTGAAAATTGAACTGTCAGGGAAGAAGACCAGCCTGGCTGAACAGAGAGCTTTGACTGGAACTCAGGGAAAAAAGAGAGTTTATGACCTTTTGCAGAGGGGGCAGGAAACTCATGAGGACTACAGGGATGTCATGAGGTTATATAGGGAGAAAATCAGAAAGACCAAAGCCCAACTAGAACTTAATAGGGCCAGTGCCATAAAAGAAAAAAGTGTTTCTGTAAATACATTAGCAACCAAAGCAGAGCCACAGAGAATCTTCAGCCTTTATTGGATGTGGGGGGAAACACAGTGGTGAAGAATGAAGAAAAGACTAAGGTACTTAATGCCTTCTTTGCCTCAGCCTTGAATAACAAGACCAGTTGTTCTCTGGGGACCCAGCCTACTGAGCTAGAAGACAGGGATGGGGAACAGAATGAAGCCTACATAATCCAATGGGAAATGCTCAGTAACCTATTACATTACTCAGAGTAAAGTAGAAGTCTGTGGGGCTGGATGGGATCCACACAAGGGTACTGAGGGAGCTGGTGGAAGTGCTCACTGAGCCACTTTCCACCAAATACCAGCAGTCCTGGCTAACTGGAGAAGTCCCAGTTGACTGTAGGTCAGTAAATGTTATGTCCCTCTCCAAGAAGTGCTGCAAGGAGGATCTGAGTAACCACAGACCTTTCAGTCTGAACTCATGCCAGGAAAGGTCATGGAGCAGCTCTTCTCAAGTGCAATCACCCAGCACATCCAGGACAACTGGGAGCTCAGGCTCAGCCAGCATGGATTTAGAAAAGACAGGTTCTGCTTCACCAATCTGAGCTCCTTCTATGACAGGGTCACCCCCCTAGTAAATGAGGGAAAAGCTGTGGTATTGTCTACATAGACTTCAGTAAAGTCTTTTGACATCATTTCCCACACCATTTTCCAGGAAAAACTGGTTACCATGGCTTGGATGGGTGTATTCTTGACTGGGTATAAAACTGGCTGGAGGAGTGGGCTCTGGCAGTAGTGGTGGATGGTGTTAATCCAGCTGGTGACAAGTGATGTTCCTTGGGGTTGAAGGAACCCAAGGCCTGTTGAAGTTCCTTTTTAAAATTTTTAAAATTTGAGGCCCATCCTTTTTAAAATCTCTATTGATGATTTGGATGAGGGGCTCAGTGTACTTCTGCTCTTTCTGAACTTAAGACCCACATTGGTTACACAGACTACTAAATGAGAAAAACATTAAAATAATTAACATCATCAGGTATGAACTACCACTTAAGGCACTAGCAATACAAATCCAGAATAAGACATGACAGATATACTTAATAAAGAGTTACTGACAGATAATTCTACGTAATGGCATTAGTCTTCCTCCTCCTGCTACCTAAGTATTTTTGTCATTCAGATTTAATCTAGATGGATGCATGTAGCTCCTACAGGGTGAGAAAAAAGTTTAACAGAACAAAAATATTACTGACAATTGTTTGACTCACCAATTTCATAAAAACTACAGCCAGGAAACAAAGAAATAATTTAACCATGTACTGGATGACGTTTTCAGAATAGCTTCCACAAATACGTCTCCTCATACCCTAAACATCCTTTTAAAGTAATTTATTTCTGTAATTGTATTTCTAAATTAAAGAACAGCTCTTCTTTTTTTAAACAAAACTGTGCACAGATGATGATGATGCTAATAATGATGATGATAATATTAGTAATACAAAAAGGCCAGTATTCCTCTCCCACACCTTTTGCCCCCAAAGCCACAATACATCCAGACAGCCACTGCTGCCTTCCAATCAACAGGAGGGGAGCTGCAGGGAACGAGCATTCCCAGCTGATGATGCCATTAACTTGGGACAGGACGAGATGTACCGAAAAACATCAGGTGCCTGGAGAGAAAGCTAAATGAAAGTAACTTCTTAAGAGTACTGTCTTCTAATTTCCTGCAAATCCAAAATCCACCCAACCTCAATGGAGTTAGCAATTTTTCTAGTTGCCAAGGGCTGCTCTGCTCCTTCTCCAGAGTCATATGAGAGGATGTCACCCAACCCCCGGGCCACTGCAATTCCAGCAAATAACTCAGTTTGATGCACTACTCCCTGCTCCTGGCCCTGTATCCAGCACTCCTGGATGTTTCAAGTGGCCTCAGCCCAAAATTCAGGTTCATGATTATATTCTGAATGTGTAAGGCCCCACAGCATATCAAAAACAGTTTTTTTGATGTCAGTACACAAGTAATAGTCTATCCTCACCCAAAATAACTGCAAGATTTTTTGAGTATATGTAAAGGCACAGGTGTTTTAGTAGTAAGAGAGGTAAAGTATGACACTCATCCTCTTAAACTGTATGATGATAGTCCTCTTCCTTTTAAACCTACTCTTTAATGGAAACTATATACAATAGTCTTTCTTTTTCCTTGAAAGATTTCTGCTCTGGAGTTCCAGCAAAACACAGACCTCCAATGATGTTAACTACTCAGGAAGGACTCCTCTGCCCCACATGCTTTCCATCTGAGTTATCAACCATGGAGTCTGGCAATGCTGTCCAGATCCCTTTATCCACACATTACCTGGCCCATTTGATTCACACCTACAAGAATATCTAAGATATTCATACATTGCCCATCTCTGTTAGCTGGTGTATACCCGAGGTGTTATGGACACAGATGGATCATTCTGGGCCCTGACAAAAAAGCAACAACTCTTTAAGTCTCACAAGCAAGCTCTAACTCATCTATGTTACTAAATACATAAAAACCAGCAAGAAAGTAAAAAAAAAACTCCTCCAAAAGAAACTGTGCAGAAGACGCAATAAAAACTTCTCTAGAAAAGTTTCTCTTGCAAGTAGAACATATTGGAGCTGTTTTTTCCCCCAGCTTTATCATTGAGTTCTACTTTCATGGGCCTATTCAGAGTTCATCAAGTCATTGACAATTTTTAATGGTCCACAGATGCAAATCAGATAGATTTCTACATAATTAATTCCTTATATTACAAAAGCATCATAGAAACTGATCATGAAATGCTTAATTTCATTTTTTTACTGATGTGATTTTCTAGAATAAGACTGCAAGATCCAGCAA